CGAGGAGAGACGGTTTCGCGAGCCGCGCAAACTCTGATGTAACGCGAATCTCTCCCTCTCTCTTTCTCTCCGCGGAGCGTGTCGTACAACTACGCGCCGCGTATAATACGCGACCTGCGAAACACGGCGCGGCGAAATTCGACGCGTGGCCGTCCCTTTAAAATTCTACGCCGCCCCGATACGTTATCCCGAGTCCCGATTCCCGCATCGGGCACCGTCATCGCGAGTCGCCACTTTCGAATCGCTTGTCCCGAGAAAACGAAACCGCGTAATAACGGTAATAATAACGATAAGAATAACAATAACAATAATAACAACAAAGCGAGCGGGAGAAGGAGCGAAGGGGGGAAGAGCGAGGAGAAAATACGCCGCTGAAAAAATACGAGCGTTGAGCGATTTCGTAAGAAAAAAGCAAAGAAAGAGAGGAGAGAAGAAAAGGAAAGAATCGTGACAACATCGTGATATCTGGGATCGCGCGATTTCTCCGTTTCTTAGCTCGAACCCGGAGCCGAATTCTGGACGTGTACGCCGCACGCGCGCGCACACACGGAGCAGAAGCATCGCGACGGCGCGTGAACGAGATACCAACACACGCGCGCTGTCGCGAACTTTTCAACGACACCGACGACGCTGTTGGACTTTCAGCTCTGCGCGATTAACTCCGCGAATGCTAGAGAGTGGCCGGTGCGCGGCGCGCAGGAGATCGGGACGTCCGTAATGCCAGTAGAACGAGTCCGCGCGATTAACGACGGAGTCGCGGGCTAAGAGGACTCGCGGGGGATTTCGGCGATGCCGTGTCCGAGACAGCATCCGGTTGCCCTGTCCGCGTTAGACGAAGCGGGGGCGTGGAAGAAGCGCGAGTACGCGGGATCCAGGCGAATTTTTCCATCGGCACTGGCCGCTTATATCATCGTCACGTAATTACACGGCAGGATTGTTATTCGATGGAAGCTACGGCGAGCGATCTATCTGGAATTTCAAGCGGTCGCTCGTGAGCGGATAGAACGTGGAGAGCTGCAGGCGTGGGGAAAAAAAATAACGCGGCAGAGAGAGAAAGAGTGAGAGAGGGGGTGGTGGAGAGGAAGCAGAGAGAACGCGAATCCGCTGGAGCGAAATTACGATGAATACCGGTCGTTGTTTCCCAGCACAATGGCCGTCGTTATGTCTCCGCTTTTATTACGTTCGCGCGAAACTGCACGGAGGACGAAACCGTGCTCGTGATTGGTCGTCATCGCGATGTCATCCGAAACTGATTTCCGTTCGATGAAACGGGGTAAGAGGATGGTACCACGACGAAGATCCCGTGGAAAGTCGCACGGCGCACGACGAGGGACGCTCGTGGGCGTTGCTCCGCTATTATACCCGTCGGAAGGGCTGGAATTAGGTCAACAAGGTGTCGGTACGCATAACGAACTGGGTCACGCTTTTACGAACGCTTCCACATAGCCAACGATCGATCGGGTCCAAGCTTCGTGCACCGTTTCACCGAGCTAATAAAGCGCAGCAGAGAGGGAATTTTCGATCGCGAACGCGAAAAAACCGAGCCACCGTCGGAATTTGCTTCGGCGATTATCTTATCGCGAACATTCCGTCGATACGCGGCTTTCGCGGCCAAAAAACATAAACAGAAATTCGTTTGGCCCGCGCAAATAAACCATCGTCGCGAATTCGGGTTCGTATCCACCTCTAAATTTCTACGGCGTAGATATCTGTCCGGACGAAAGTCTGTCGAATTTTTGTTCCAATAACCGGACGAGAAAGCGATCGGATCCGTTCCTAGCTGAGCCCAGGGAACCCTCGAGATAACGAAAAAGATGCACGCCATTCGTCTGACCCAGCGGTTGCCCTTGCACTTGACGAAGCTATCCACGTGGCTATATCCGCGCGATGACGACATCGATGATGTCGGCGCGACTACCGCAGCCGCTGACTTTCGTTTTCATTTTCTTTCGTGGTACTACTCGTCGCCGAGTCCTTGACTGAGCCCACTTCGATAACGCTACTCGCGTAGTAAACCCGCTCGCTGTTATCGCGTTCCTGCATTCGCGACTATCGTTCCTCGCTCGTGCGAGGTGAGTCACTTCGACCGTTCGCCATTACGACTTTCGTGGTATCCTCGTCCACCCGAGTATACCTAAGTATACACCCGAGTACGTACGAAGTTCCTACATTTCCTTCCGACTGTATCCCGACCGTGCATACTCCGCTTCGTCAACCGCGCGGCGACCCTCGTTCTCGAGAGAGACTCGACTGAAACGTACGACCTTGCGTATCGGCGTGCTCGTGACAAATCGGTGCATCGGCAGATTGGGCGACCGACACGCATCTGGCTCATCCGTCCGACCGAGAAACTTGTTTTTCGACCGTTGGTCCGACGTGTTTTTTCGAGCTCCTCGTGAATCACGTGTCTCCGTCCACGCTGCGGGCTATTAACGCTAATAATGCCAGTGCCTCCAACGGGATTAACCCGATGGCACATTAATTCCTACCGTATTCGCGATCGATCTTCCAGGCGGAGAGAACGCAGCGCTGCGTCTGCGGCCGATCGCGATAATCATTCGCCAGATTACACGATCTATTAGCGGACCGAGTATTTCCGTACCTTACCGCGAACAGAGCTATCTACGGCGACAAACTGCGAGTGAACGAGAGAGAGAGAGAGAGAGAGAGAGAGAGAGAGAGAGATGACGATGATGTCGATTTCGCGGTATTCCTGGAGTTCCTAATCCGATCTTCCTACGTTTCGAATAAGAGTCGCGAGCAGCTCTTGCAAAAATATCTCCTTTTCCTGCATTATTTCTGGCCAGCCTTTCCATGATCGGCATGCTAAGCGGACTCGAAAAAGTCGCGGCCGAAGAAACTCCCTACGTGCGGAGCTTTTTACGTCTACCGTTATTGCTCGCGCAACTACCGTTAATAACAAAAGCCGATGCACGCGACCACGATTTTTGCCGTACCCGTGGAATATTAAAATATCGCAAACCGGGAACCTAGCTGACCTCTCGCTCGCGCATCCACGACGAAGCAACGCTGTTTCGCGATATCCGCGCCGCTCCGGACTCGTTTGCATCGGGAACGGATCAAACATCGTAATCGCTCGACGACGGCGGTGCCCCTCGTTCCCATCGAATCCATTATTCAACGAAGAAAAGAATATTTATCGAGGCTGCGCGCGCGCACGCACTCGCACGCGAGAGGAACGTCGCGAAAAGAACTATCTCGAACGCGCGCTAAACGATTTCCCAGGCAGCTGCCGCACCTCGATTTATCTGCTATTTGCGGGAATCGGTCGGCAGGGGAAGGATTATCGGAGAGATCGTAGCGCGTGGATGGTTCGCGAGGAAAATGAGATCGAGTACGGCGAGCGTGTAACCGGAACGCGAGGCACGCTCTAATGGCGAACCGTTTAAAATGGGCGGCGGTGGCAATTTATTTGCATCGCACGTGGCCCTCCGTGGGCGGCGGTCAGGAAGCGTGTGTGCACGAGATCCCGGAACATCTCTCGCTCTCTTTCTCTCCGCTTTCTCTCTCTCTCTCTCTCTCTCTCTCTCTCTCTCTCTCTCTCTCTCTCCCTCGGCTCTGCAGCGATGGGCACACCCGAGTTACGCTTCGGGGGTGGAACCGTAGAGCGGACTCGATGAAAACGGCGACGCACGACCTGGTCGCCATGATTGTCGCCAAGTCGCCCGGAAGAAAGAGCCTCGACTTCCGGCCCGCTAGGCCGGCGCCTCTCCTCCACATAGGCGTTCGCGTAGATCACGAGCAGCTACGAGAGTCGATGTATCGATACTGTCTTCGGTTAAAGAGAGGGAGAGAAAGAGAGAGAGAGAGGGAGTACGCGAGGATTTCAACGGGCCAGAAAAATGGGTGGCCTTCGGGATGACCGTAGGCCAACGACACCGAAATAATACGACGCGCAAACATTCGTGCCTGTGAATATTTAACAGAGTCGACATGCGAGTTCCCGTGGCAGAACGCCGGTGTTTACGTTGACGAGCGAACGCTTATATTACCCGCGCCTCTCGATAGCCTCGCCTCTCGTCCCGCTGCTCGAAAGCAAAATACTCCAAGCGAATTAATTATGCAAGCGTCGTACGCGATCGGGCCCGTGTTCGTTCGCTCGCGTATACACTCGCGCGTGGTACGCTGGTCGTTTCACTCGCGAGAGAAGCAGCGGCGGACGACGAGCGGTCGCGCGGCGGCGTGGCGTCCTTTGGACGAGGATCGCGGCCACGCGACCGCGTCGACGACAACAATAACAAGAGCAAGTACCGGGAAACGGAGTGGATCTCTCGCTGGCGATATCGATCGGAAGTGGCGGCCGCGAAGCGCGCGCGACGCGCTCTTATGTTCCTAATTGGAGATACTCGCGCGACACACACGCCAGAGGTTTCCGCGCGCGCGGCTCCCCGAAGTATCGCGTTACGAAAGGTATATGCCAAGTGCACTTGTAAGGTTTCCCCCCGCCGGTGCGCCGCATAGCGAAACAGACATGGAGCGGAAGCACCTGCTCCGGAGACCGCGAGTCTGCACCGTGGACGTGCCCGATTCCGTAAAACGCGCGTGTACGAAGCGAGCGTTTACTAGGCGGAACGCCGGCACCGATGCCGAGGGGACGGCGAATGAAACCGGAGAGGAAGCGTAGTCGCGCTCCGCTAGCACAGAGAGCGACACCCTCGCGGAAGCCTCGTCGAAGCTTCTCGCGGAAGCTTCGATTTTATCGATAGGACACGGGGGGATAGAGGACAGCGGTAGTCGATCGAAACGACGATGACGACCGTAACGAGAGGAACTCGCGGATCGAGCTAGACGCGCCTCTTCGCGTGTCGCGGACCCGATGCGTGTCGTCGGCCATGGGAGGCGAGAGAAAGAGAGAGAAAGAGAGAGAAAGAGAGAAGAGGAAGAAAGAGAGAGTGGCGGTCGGAGGGGTGGGGTGTAGGGGGACAGAGGGGCGGAGGGCTGGAGGGGCGGTAGGGGTAAAGACTATATTGATCACTGACCTTTCCTGCGGCCGAATGGTCCGAAGAACGTGCCGTTCTTGCCGATGACGTTATCGTCGATGTACTTGAGCAGTTTAGTGGTATCCTCCCCTTTTTTAGCGGCGATCGACTTGACAGGACGCGGCGGCGCGAGCCTCTGGCTGCTACCGCTGGTCAGCGTGCTCGGGCTGACGGTGCTAGCGGTGGTCGGCGTGGACGTGGTGGCCGTGGTGGACGCCGACGTGGACGCAACGGCGGTCGGTTGACCCGCTAGGCCGGCGCAGCTCGCACTTCCAGCCGTAGGGCACGTCGTTTCCTCCGCGAGGGAGTTGATCCTTCGCTGCGATCCGCTCCAACTCTTGCCACACGAAATCTTCACCGAGCAGCTCATTCTCTCATAGTAATCGGGTACCTCTCAGTGTGCATAGTAAGAATAACCACGAATCGACACACGCGACAACGCACCCGATCGTTGCATGTACTCCCCGCGATGATCACGGAGAGTCGAACGCACCGACCACACCGGATCGCCAACGACCGTATATTCGACTCGCCTGTGTCCCCTTAGTTAGACCTCGTCACTCGTCCGAACGGCAGGAGCATCGTCTGAGACGCGAAACGAACAAACTCGCCTCACCCGCTTGCCCTTTCTCTTCCTTTCCTGCACTCTCGCAGACACGTGTTTATCACTGGAACGTTAATTGGAACGGTACGAGAGAGACGACCAGGGTTATCGTCTGTCGCCCGTCGATTCCGCGAATGTACGGGAGAAAAAACGGGGGAAAAAGTGAAAAAAGAAAATGGAGAAGGCGCGCGCGCGTATCGCGTGTTAATCGTCCGTCCAAACGATAGCTCTACCAGCAGAGGGAACGAGCTCCTCGCGGATCTCTCTATCGTGCTTCCCTCGTTCCTCCGCGTTCTTCTCTTCCTCCTTTATCTTCCTCCCTTCCTTCCTTCCTTCCTTCCACTCGTTTCGCACCTTTCGTCCTTCGGCCTCGATCGATTTCCACCGATTCGTTTCCGGCGGAAGAAGGAGCAAAAGCGTTCAACCGGCTCCGCGGTGTTTCTGTTTTCTTCCTCGACCTCGCGCGATCCCGTGTCCCGTGTTTTCCGCGTTCGAATAGGTTAGCGCGACGACCGTCGGATTAACTCGAGCTTCGACTACTTCCGTGATGTAGCTTACCGAACGACGTGCGCACCGCGAACGCAAACAACCTCGTTCGATGCTGAGGCGAGACTGAATGTCTAGCGGACGAGCTGCCCGGTTCGCCAATGGCGTCACATGGTCACGCAGGCGCCGTCGAGTCTCGCTTCGCTTCGGGGCATCTTCTCTCTGGGTCGGCCGTGCGGGGTACCGCGAAAACCTGAAGCGCGTTTTTCCGCGAATCTCCGCGCGGATTCCGCTTAAACCCCCCGCTAAATGTCGCCGTTCCTCGCTCCATTTTCCTCCCTTGCCCATTTCTCTCGCGAAATTAATAAGATACCGCGCAGATTCCCGCGTTACGCCGATCTGGCGAATTTCTCGCGAAATTGCGAATTTTCCGTTCGTCGCTGAACCCACGGTGTTCCAGGTTGCTTCTTTATTTCACATCATCGGGTCCAACGGTTTCGGGATGGTGAGAAAATTTTATTCCTCCGTCATGGGTGTTCTTATTTCTATTTAAGGATTCAGCGAAGAAACTCGATACACGGTTGAAAAGTGTATTTTCGCACAAAAGAATATTCCTCGCGATTTGTCATTTGCCAATGAGAAAATGAGATATAAATAGACGCGTCGCGTTTCAAAGGAGACACTCGTTTACGACACAGGGCTCTTTGAACCCGATTCACCGGCGCACATCTGTTCGAAATCGTGCAAATGTTACGCGTTAATTTGCATTCGAAATTGCACGCGTGTACTCGCTGGGAGCAGAAGAAAAGCCGGGGATTCCATCGCTTCTTCGATTCGACGATTACGCAAACTGCTGGATGTTTCGTTGGTACTTACTTGGCCACCGTAGGATCGGATCTTGCCGGGAGCGTGTCAGGCTTAATCGAATATCTCTCCCCGGTTCTATACAGATACGAAATTGAATTTCACGATTGGTTTGCCCACTCTCACCCTAGTAGCGGTTTCCTTTCGCGTGATACAGACGGACAGTTATTCGCGTAACCTCTTTTTTTACAAGCTGCACTGGCAATCCGCGACCATATGGTCAGATACGACGGGAATATGGGTCACGCGAAGGCACGTGCGTTTCCCCATTAGTCGAACAATTAGAATAATTAGCCGCGAATTCGACGCGGAAATCGCATTAACGCGCCCTGACAAGAGCGCAAAATTCGAGACAACGGGGATATCTGATCGCATTGTTCGAGAATTGTTGCTCGTCGCTCGGCGTCACTCGATGACGCACAAAAGAGTATCGTGCCGTTCGAGGAGTCGAACGAGACTCTTGATACACGAGTACGAGCACGAGGAAGAATCGTCGAACAGATTCGCGTCGCGATCGTCGCGTGGTAGCGAGATAATTAGCAGGAAACGTTGCGATCGGACGGTAATAAACGATTCGCTTTTTCCGCCGGAGCAACGCGACTCTGTAATTAAGGATCAGTGAAATCTCTGCCGGTTAATGCTTTTCTTTTACCACTTTCCGGGTACATTAGCCGCCATTGCAACGAGGCATCGCGTGAAACAGGAGACACAAATTGCCCGTTCGTCGGAATCGATAAACGAGGAAACGAGGCGATCGCTTCCTCGAGATCTAGTCTAGCCCGTATACGCCAACAACGCGTAATAGTCTTATCATCGTGTGTCCGGCTGGAAGCCGTAAAGAGGCTTTGCCTTTCACGCCAATTTATTCCAGCTTCTCGCGATTTGCGTAAAGCGACTTCTGCCCGGAATATTTAATAACCCACGGTCACGTTCTAGCGGCTTCCACGTGTCTTCCGACAACACCGTTTCGAACCTATGCGCCAGTTCCATTCCTAACCTATTCCGGTTTACCTCGAACGGGTCTACTCGTCCGGTAGGACGCAAAGATCGCTCGTGAGTCACGATCACGCGCTAAGCGGACGTTCGCGCTGAAGATCCAAGCGTACGACCAAAATTCCTTCTTTATTCCCCACTGTACCTCCGCAATTGCAGACAACCGCTGTAAGCACGCTAGCAGCTATACGCGATCGATACGCACGTTCACAAAAGCGTGATAACACGGGAACACCGAGTCACGAATCATTCGCGATGACTTTCGTCGAATCAACAGATAGTACGACACATGTTTACGCCTTCAACAGCTGCTCTTCACGTGACTCCTTCGTGCAAAAGTCCTTAGCTACGGAACAATTATAGGCTGAACATTTGTACGCACGTACGCCGAGTAGAAGATTGTCATCGTCCCACCTGGAAATTGATCGATTTCGTCAAAAAGTCCCGTCTTTGCGATTAATTAGACTATAATTTAACGATAGCTTAACGATAATTGTACCAAGCTCTTTCTTACTCTACGAACGTCGATCAATTCTGCTAAACGGAGATCTCAGAGTCCTCTACCGCGACACGGAAGATCGTGTGAGAACTTGGACGGGGCAGCGTGGCGTTTATCGCCCAAACGCTCCATGGTAACGAATTCCATATGATTCTTGCGGCTTTCGTGGCTAAGCTCACGCTCGGGCTCTGGTTACGTTCGTCCTCGCGTATATCGAATTTGGCACGATGCTGAAGTTTCAAACTGCGACCAAGGAGGACCTGAAACTTGCCGCGTCCATTCAACGCAGGCGGCAGATCGACGCCGAGAGGAAGCAACGGATCTTCGATTCTCGGTTCAGGAAAATCGGGGTGAGCGATGGCGGCTCGGGCCAAAGTGTTTTCCCTTTGTGCATGACGCGACTCGACGCGACTCGACGCGACTCGACGCCGGGTTAACCTGTTATACGCGGATCGATGTTGCGCGAAAGACAAAAAGGACCCGTGTGTCCGCACGCGAAAGAACGATATATCGTGATGCGTTGCGAGTACGTCCGGCATAACGATTTTTATCCGTAACGCCCGCAGATAGACAAGGAATTCTTGGACAAACAGGTCGCGGAAAAGAAGCAGCAGCGTGAGCTGGAACAGGCCCGGGAATCCGAGCTGGACGAGAATTTGATTCGCAGCAGTAAGCTCGCCCTGCTGCTGGAGAAACAACAAGAAGAGGTAAACTGTCAATTAACGGCGGAAAAAAACAAGCGACCGGATGATTAATCGTCTTTGGAAGCGTCATCGTTAAAGATTCCTACGTTTGTACGCGTACGCGTTCTTCCTCGCGCGTTTCTTACTTTGTAATATTCTCGCGCGCGATCTCGCCAGCTGAAACTGAACGGCTGTCGATGTTGCAGGAGAGGCGGGAGATAAGCAAGGAGATCGAGCATTTCAGACAGCGGTACCAGCGTCCCGAGCACGGCAGGGACTCCGATCTTCGCGATCCTCTGAGACAAGGCGATGGCGACTCGTCGCACGGACTCGGTTTCGGCCAGAAGTAAATATCGTCATAGCCAATTTCGCAGGCGTGAAAATGGTACAGCGACGTTAAATATTTGATCGGGCGACGGTGCAGATTCGAGGGCGAAGACGATAATTGGAAGGAACGCAGGAAGGCGCGGAATGACGAGACGAGGTGGTGGATCGAGAAGCAAAAGAGCGAACGCACACAGGCGGAGAGGGAACGCCAGGAAGCCGAGAAAGCGTACGAGGCAGCCGTCATCTCCAGGGACAAGCGTGCCATGGCGTTAGATCAGATGGAGCGGGAATGTCGCCGAAGGTTGAACGAAGCCAACGCACGATTTAATCGAGCTCTGGTAAGGCTTTCTCCTATTCGGTCCTTCGATCACACGGCCAGGAACAAAGCGGCAGCAACTGCAAGAAAAAGATAAGAATCTTATTATCGGACGATTCTATTTTCTCCGCTCGTGGAAGAAGATCGAATCTCCTTCTATAGCACAAACGCAGAGATCTCGACCTGTCTCCGCGGGACGAGCTCGCGTACCGGTCGATGCCGGTCGACCACGAGGAAGCGAAAATTCGGATAATTAACGCGGGATACCTCTCTCTGTTGCATTAATCGATTTAAAGTCCTCTCGTTGCCTCTCGTCGCGAGCGACCAATGACGGCGAACCGTGAAATGTCAGAGTTCAACGGTGGCAAAATCTCGTCGTTCTTGATACGGCTATGGTTCCGGCCGAATTCGGCCGATGATTTCAGTCGATGAATTCAACCGATGTCACCGTGCACCAATGGGCCGACGATTGTTGCTTCCATTGCCGGGGCGACGCGTCTCGGCCACGGGCCACACGGTTTTAACATAAACCTTCGCCGAAGGTGAGCACCGTTTACAGCGACGACGAGGTTGCTACGGTCGATGAGCAAACTCGGTGACGTCATCGACACACGAGTCTCGGTAATAACACGACGAACGGTCCTCCTTCAGTCGCTTCCCCATCTCTTTCCACGCGTTCCCGTCCTTGACTTTTTTTCTCTTCCAAGCTGTCACGCTCCGTTGGACGGAGCGCGCGTTTTAGTCGAATGACCGGCTCCATTTTCCTCCCTCCCCCGCTCGGCTACAGGCCGAGGAACAGGAGTACCGCCGCCACTGCGAAGCCCTTCGAGAAGAGGAGGACAAGAAGGCGGATATCTACAATCACGTGACTGGAGACTTCCTCACGGAAGCCAAAGAGCAGGCGGAGAGCACTCGTGGACCGCACAAACCGTTGGCCTCGCGTTACAAGGGCATGACTGCGGACGAGCTTAGAGTATTCGGGGAAGCGCGAGCTCTCCAGCTGAAAGAAATCGAGGTAACAGCAGACGGGTGAACGGTTGTTTTGCGCGGTTTTAACGATGCGCCGCGGATGGTTGAAACGGTGCCAACCGTTGTCACGGCCACGCGAGGGCACGGCCAGGGTAAGAAAAAATTTGGCTCACTCCGGGGTAACTTTTTCTTCCAGAAAATAAAATTGGAGGAGAAGCGAAGGGAGGAGGACTGGGATCGGTTAATGAACACCCAGGCGGCGATCGCGGACTCGTGTCAGCGGGAGATTGACCGGAAGAGAGCGTAAGAGGTTTACGTTTTGCGTTTACCGGGTTGTAGCGAAAGCGAGAGTTAAATAGATCGATGTGTCATAGGGAAATCAAGAGGCAGATAGCGGAGGAGAACTTGGAACTAGCGCAGCGACACAAGTCCCATCAACAGTATCTAAATCGCGTGCTCTACAAGAACAAACCCACCGCAGAATTTTTCGAACAATTTAACAGGGATGCCCGCTGAAACGAGACTTTGCTGCTACACCGATACGAATAAATTACTTTTCTAACGCAAATACATATGTTTGTTCTGTGCTTTCTTTCGCGCCTAGTTGGATATCGATTCTTCGAAAAACTCGTTCGTTGGTAACTGAAATTCGTAGCTACGCGAATCATCTTCGGTCGGTATTATATCATGCGTTTCCAACGAGTTTTATATTTCGCGACGAAGAAAATTTTACTCGCGATCGTATGAATTTAGTCTTTCGATGTATCGTTTTATTGCGCTGCTTTAAATACACTGCGAGATACTAAAATTTTATGTACTATTATCGACCTTCCCGTTGAATGCATGCATTTATGCGCTATCGGTAAAAAGAGACATTGTTGATGTTTACGTGTCGTGTCTGAATGATGTTACTTGAAATATCGCGTAAAACGTTGCCAATGTAAATTAAAAGTATAATATATTTCCCATCATGCTTCTTAGCACAACGTAGTATTGCAAAACATAAATCACTGTAGCGATAAAATGCACGATATAGACTACGATGATGCTGAGAAACAAAGGTTAGCTTTAAGGTTATATATCTTCCTATATTCGTTGCTTTATTTACGTTAAATATATTCGGTAAGTCTTTTATTTGTCAATAGTAATGAGCAAGATGCGTTACTCGAGGAACAACGTGAAATAGTGGAGGATCTCAAACGCGATTTACACTTATGCAAGGTATATTGTCTGTGCAAAATTAATTCTAGGTTAAATGCGCCTCTGTAAATATGAATTAGATATCCCTTTTTCAGATAGAACAACATAATATACGAGCTGAATTAGAAATTCTACGAAATGAAAATAAAAATATTAACGAAATAAAGGAATCCTTGAACTCTATTCATTTGGAGGAATGTGACGATCAAGATGCTCATAAAAAGGAAATAGGTAATTTACAGGAACGTATTGTGCTGTTGGAAACAGAAAAGGACTCAGCTTTGCAACTTTGGCATATTTCTCTGAATACTATAAGTGCCTTAGAGAATCGATTAAAAGGATTTCATATAGATGGAATAGGAACTAAGTTTTATCAAGACCAAGCAAATGCTATTAAGGAAAGTTATTCGGAAGCTATTCAAATGTTGGAGAAAAAGCTTGCTTTGGCCAAAGATAATTTTATAAAGCATCAAACGCTGTATGAAACTAGCAAAGAGAAAATTAATAGTTTGACTAAAGAGAAAGATGAAGTTTTGGAGAAATATAGAATTCTTCAAACAAATACTCAGGACAGAGGTCAGTAACATATGTTTATAATCTGCCATAACAAATAGAGAAGTTATCTTTATTTTCTAAAAGACAGGAATAATCAGCTGACAATAGAAACGTTAAAAAAGGATTTAGAATATGCTAAAACTGAGACCAACAAAGTAGTGCAAGCAAAATTGGAATTAGAAAAAAGATTAAACGAAGTTAAGACATACGCTGAAAATGTAATGGAAAGGGACAAGGAAACGAAGAATAAAATGGTAGAAGCCATTGAATTGATAGAATCTGCAGTTAGGGAAAAGGACTTAGCGTGTCATCGGGAATCTCTAATATCGGAAGAAAAAACTAGGCTGGAACATAGACTAAATATAATAGCTAACGAATATGATGTAAAGATACAAGAATTGAATAAGAAAACCAGAGACGAGATCGAATTAAATACGAAAAGATATTTAACAGAGATCAACGAACTTAAAGCAGAATTAAAGGCAAAAACTACAGTAGCAGACAAAGTTCAAAGAGAATTAGAATTTACAGAAGAAGAATTAAATAAGATACGTAGAGATTCGAGTACAAAGATATTAGAGTATGAACAAAAAGCTAAACGTATGGAATTTCAATTACAAGCATATAATGAAGCAATGGTTAAAAATAAATACGACGTGGAAATCAAACAGTTAAGAGAAAAGATTATTACTCTTGAAAGTAAACTAAGCACTTCAAATGATAAATTACAAAAGTTAGAACAACAACAAACCAGTAGTATACAAGGTCAAGTAAAAGGAACGAATCGTGAAAATAAAGATATAATGAAACAATACTCGGATTTAGAGAGTCAACTATCTAAAACGTTAGCTGACAAGGAAAATCTTGTATTACAATTAAAATCGTTAAAACACGATTTTGACTATGAAATACAAAAAAGGGACATTGAAAGACGTTCTCTTGAAAATAAAATTCGAGAACTAGAAGTCAATCTGTATAAAGCTACTTCTGTAGGAGAAAATAAGTTGAAAGGTGATATTGCCGATGAAGTAAATCCACTTAATGTTAAAAACAAACCTTGCTTCGATATAACGTAAGTAGATGCGAATATCTATTAAGTCTAGTGATATTACATGTGATATTTCTATTGCAGCGTAGAAAACAAATGCCACTGCTGCCAGTCTGTATTATCGGATCATATGAATAAATTACAGGAGAAGTTTGATAGAAAAACAAAGGAGTTAATCAACCATGTTCAAGTTCATCAAAAACTAAGTAAAAAGTATGCAAACTTTTTACAAGGATAAATAAGTAATTATCGATATTTTTATAACAATTTCTGTTTTAGATGGAGAGACGAAGCAAAATCTTTGACAGTTAAATTTCAAGGAAAGTCTAAGGAACTAAGGGGAAAAATAAGCATCTTACAGAAAGAAAATAACGAATTAAACCAGGAATTATTAAATTGCAAACAACAATTAGCGCAACATGCAATTCAAGATATACAAAGGTGTGTATCTACCAAAGTTGTGTAATAGCAAGGTACTTTAAACTAACTGTACATTGTTTTAGATTTAATGAACCAAATGAAATTAGGTGACGACATTTTTCCTTATCTACAAGAGCTTTATAGTGGATGTTTAACTGTGTAAATATTACAAGAATATGTAATTTTATTCATGTTAAAAATACATTTTATACTAGACATATCTTTCCTTTCTTTTTTTTTTTTTTTTTTTTTAAAA